ATAAAAATTAAAATAATAATAAAAATTCATTAAAATTGTACATTAAAGCTTCTTTTTTTTTGAATTTTTTCTTTTTTAATTTAATAATAAATATTTCGTTTTTTATATATACATAAGCAGAAGAGAGCAAAGTTAAAAGAGATATTCTGACTACAATGTACTTATACTAAAATTCAAATTATTTTTTTCGCAAGCCTATCATATGCTAAACTTAAGAAGAACAGTTCGTAAGCTTAAGCAAAAAAAAAAAAATTTGGATCAGAAGAGCCATTTAATAGAATTGATAGATAGATCGATCGACTAGTAAAGAACGGATATAAGCTGTTGCCACTCTCTCTCTCTCTCTCTTCAACTTCCCCGTTATGCTCTGGGTAAAATCAATTTTTATTCATCAAGTTTTATAATCGATTGCGATCAAATCTTCAATACTTCCATATATTGCAATAGATTATATAAACTGATGAGCGAAAAAATCTTAAGTGTTATACCTTTAACTGATTTGTCCCATATTCAGTAGAAACTTATGTCGACGAATTGCGAATGTCTTCGCTTCGGATCGACAGGCTCTAATCTTTTCACAATCTAATGCTGATCAAGAATATTTATATACGCTTTCTGAGACTGGTTGCACCAAATACCAGACCCATACCAAATGTTCAAAGAATACTGAACTGGATAGAACATAGGACACAGGACATAGGACAGGAGGACGTATATATTAAATTTGAAAGCATTTTTTTCGCGTTGCCATCCGCCAACAAAAAAAAAAATGATATCAAAGGACCCCTCACTTGAAGGAGAATTTTTTTCGTTCCTTTATAAAGAGTGATCGATCTTCTTACACTACAATGTTTCTTCGCAAGCTTCAACAAAATCTTCTTCGTTTAATCGCTTTGCTTCGGTGTGGGACTAAAAACAACGTCAAGTTCATGAGATGGGCGTATGTTAAATATCAGAGTCAGGCAAGAGAAATTTAATAAATATGTGGTATGGTATGGAAAGCCCTCTCAACTTGTGAACATGAAAAACTTTTAAAGTATCTGGTGTTTTTTTTTTTTTTTGGATTTCACCCAGAACGTAAGGGGTTCTTGCAAACATAAGTGGCATCGGCTTCTTTCTGATTCTCAACATTCTTCATTTTCTTGATATTTCCCAAGCTGTGTCCAAAGAGATGAATAAAAATGTTCCAAAACGAATGAGTTTTTTAAGAAAACTGAGAAGCAGCAGAGTTACATAATAATAAAATATAAAAGTGCTTAACTTAAGGCAGTTCTAAGACCATTAAGATCCTTAAAGTTATGCATTTTTCGGATAGCATTGAAAGTTCAATTAACTACTACACTATATATGATATATGATAATATATATGTAAAAGCAATGTAAGATTTTTGTAAGGAAAACTTTCAACTTAAAGATAGCTTACGAATGTTCTTTGCGCGTCAAGTGGACCGTTAGAGCAACTGCTCCGTCGCATTTTTCGCCGCATAAATTACATTTAAAGGGATCGTCACGTGAATGAAAGCCCATATGTATAGTATGGAGTACAGAATCTTTGAATGAAGTTTCACAATATTTACACTCGTATACATGGTTTTCTGATGCCACTGCAGACTCATTATCTGTTTTGAATGTTGACGAAATATTTGCTAATAATGCTGCCACGGAACTGGTGCTAACTATTGAGTTGCTCACATCACTGCGACTTTGATTGCTTGACGTAACAGAAAGCGGCGACGGCGTTGACGACGACGGCAATGACGCTGATGATGTTACGTTGGTTGTCGTCGTTAATACATCGTTATGTTCAACTTCCATATGCTCTTCCTTGGTAGATGATAAGTTCGTCATTATTTGTTCTTGTTCCAATCGCAATACACGTCCTTTACGTTTAGCTGCTCCGCTACAGGGATACAAAGGTGTCTCTTCTATTTCTATGGGCAATTTTAGAATATGCCCTACTTCGGGTGTCTGCCCGCGTGACATATCTCCTTCCGCAATTTTATGAGGTGCATTACTCTGCGATAAATCGATGGCTGCTTCATCCAATTTAGCACTATTTCTATTTTGCTTCATTTCCAAGGTTTCAGCAGCTTTATCATCATTTTCATCATCATCAGTTTTTTCGGTCTTGTTGCCATCTTCTACCTCTTGTTCTTCATGCTCCTTATCACCATCGTCATCATCGTCTTCTTCATCGTCCTCGTCATCATCGTCGTCATCATCATCTTCTTCTTGTTCCATTTCGTCTTCTTCGGGCGGCGTCAAAGGTTCCCTTTGTTCACCTAAGCTAGGGGAGTGCTGTTGGTGAACTAAAGCGTTCGCCTGTCGCTGAGCCAACAATTTGAAATATTCGAGTTGCAGAAATGTATCCAAATTGGGTAACAATTGCGGACCAGGCTCTTCGTTCGTACTGTTGTGATTACTATTCAGCGAACTATTACTTTTGGTCGGCGAAGTTGGCATTTGCGATGGATTTATGGAGTAACCTTGTAAACTGGCGGATAACTTTGGCGAGTTTGGCAATTTTAATTCGCCTTTATTAGCCCGTCTCAGGCTACCTCTGCTACGACTAGAAGAATTATTTTTCGGACCCCTCTTCGATCCGTAGACATCTAAAAATTTGCTAGGTATCGGTACACCATTCTCGTCTAAAATCTTATACACTTTGTGTTTAGTGTTGCGTAAGTGTTTCTTAAAGGGATTACAAAATTTGGCAGCATATCGACATTCACCGCACTGATACGGATATACCGGTGAGTGTTTCTTCTGATGCGACGTTAACATGGACACATTCTCACAGGAGTAGTCACATTCCTCGCATTTATACGGTTTGACATTTTCATGCTTAATTAGATGAAATTTGTCTAAATGATGCTTAACTCGGGCAACGAAAGGACATTTGGGACATTGAAAGACCTTTTCAATATCCTCATGAGTGCGACGATGCTCGTACTCCTCCCATTTTGTAGCGCTAAGGTGATGACATGTTTTACATTCGTACATTTTCAATTTTCCATGTTTGTAACGTCTCAGCTTTAAGCTCTCAACGAATGTGAGTCCAACGTTCGCCCGTAAATCTTCACTGGAATTGGACATTAATTCTTCTTTTTCTGAAATTTGTACCTCAACGAGAGATGAAAGTGACTTTGGTGACTTGGGTGGAGTAATATCCATCGGTGGTGTATGACGAGGCGTTAAAACAGATTTTTCACTTTGCTCCATATGAGACGAAGAAGTAGACGCACTTATAGGCCCCGGACTAGGTGTCTGCTGATGTGAACGATTCGATAATGGACGCTGAGAATAAAATTGACTTATATTAGGAGGTATAACAGCATTCGGATAACCCGGCGGTGTTAAAGGATTAAAACCCAACTGTAATACATGTGATGATGATGATGATGACGCGGCGGCTAAATTTTGAGCGGCCGCCTGTTGAGCTTGGTGAAAATGTTGCTGGTAATGTTGTTGCTGTAGCAATTGATGTTGTTGCTGCTGAGGCAAAGAGCCATCGAAGAATTGCTCACTATGATTATGAGGTGACAAAGTCATTGTATTCAAAGTATCCAACGAAGTAGCCTGCTGCTGCTGCTGCTGAATCTGATGTTTCAGATATGTTTCTAAATGATTGGTATTTCCTTGATGATTATTGTTGTGGGTGTTTATATTGTTATTGTTGTTGTTGTTGTTGTTATTATTATTACCGCCAGATGACGGGCTTAGGGTATCCGGTTCAGTTTTAATATTTGCCGCAAACATATTATTGTACCACGTATTGTGTTCCATATAATTGGCGGTATTAGGCATGGCTTCCCCCCAATTTTGCATAATGGCCGATGTGTATGCTTGAAAGAAGTCGCCTCTAAAATGAGAATAACCGAAGTTTTAAGTCTTTTTTTTTTTAATTAGTTTGTGACCCACATATAGAAAGGCTTGCGATATTGTTTTGCCGATAATCAGTTAAAAAAGCAATGCGAGGGAAAAAATGTGAAACTGAGATGGTTAGTTAAAGCGCGTGCGCTGAATTTTACGCGTTTTTTTTTCTCTTTTTTACTGTGATTTCTTTTGTTTTTTTATTTTTCTTTGTATAATTTTTTGTTTTTTTTTTTAAACTCAAACCACCATTTAAAGCACTTGAAAGGGGTGGATGGATAAAAATATTAATATATTTTTAATAATAATGGGGGTTTTTTTTCTTTTTTTTTTTTTTTTTTTTTTTTTTTGAAAAATGGTTGAAAAAGTACACAAAGTACACACAATTTTCTTCTTGTTTTTTTTTTTCTTTTTTTTTTTTTGCTTCACCACTTTTTTAAGCTTGTATACTAGAAAATCTCGTATAGAGAGATTGTATGGGTGGGTAGGGAGTTTAACAAATCACCCTTAAGTTTTTATTTATTTTTATTTTATTTTTTCTTTTGGTTGAGTGTATGAGTGGATTGGTGTTTGGGATTAGTTTTTATTTTTTTGTTGGTTTTAAAGCCACCCGTTTTTTAAGGAATATTATATTTTTTTTTTTTTCTCACAACTTTTTTAACCAATCACAAAACAACACAGCATATATAGATAGATAGGTTCGTTCAGAAGCATAAGTTTTATATAAAGAGATTCTTTTTTTTTAATATAAATCAGATTTTTATTTATGTATATGTGTATATATATGTATATATATATATATATATATTGTGTTTTTTTTTTTTTATATTCTTAATTTCTCTCTTTTTCGAAGTTTTCTTTACATTTCGTTACAAAAGTAATGCGTTACCATGAGAAGTTGTGTTAAATATTACGGTTAGAAAGTTAGAATGCAACTGATGTTACAGCCTAATAACACCCTAGTTTTAAACTCTGTCTAGGCAAGTTATCCCATATACACACACAATATGCACAAACAACGGCATATATAACGAAATACACCGACACATACACAGCCTCCTAATTATTTACTCACTCTTCTCACATACATAATCAGCTCTCTTACTCATTCTCACTCTCGCGGACTCTCATTTTTACGCGTACCATTATCACAGATTTCTATTTGTTTTTTTTCTTTTTTTTTTCTTTCTTTCTTTTCCTTTTCTTTTTTAGAATACCTGCTGCTTGTATACTCGCTCTCTTGTATTTTAGGTAAGTTCTTTTTTTTTTTGTGTATTCTTCCTTTTGCGATTTTTCTCTTTAACACTCTAATCCACGAGAAAAACGCGCCTTTAAACAAGTATTTAATATATATATATATATATATATATATTTATATATAAGTATATATCGTTAAAACATAAGATGGCAAAATTTTTCCCTTAAATCACTTTTAAAGATTTTTGGTGAAAAAAGACAAAAGAAAAAAAAAAAAAAAAAGAAAAAATTGTACGAAAAACATTCAAATTTAAGTTAAGGCTTAAGTTAAACAAGTAATCTTCTCACTCTTTTATGATACATTTCTGTTCGCTCTTTTACGATGAATGCGATGAATGCATCGCGCAATAAAAGATGTAATAAAAATTTTTGCTCAATATTTCTTTTCGTTTGGACAAATATTTAACTTAAATTCCTTTGTTATTTGATGCCCGGACAAAAATCTTTTTTATTCTGCTAAAGAAACAAATATCATAAATGTAACGCACAAGCGGCACAAGTGACCTTTGTTCGTGGTTACTATTTGCATACATATGCAAATTTACCTGAACAACTCTCTATAGGTAACTTTTACTCTTAAGTATAAATTTGAAGAAAATAATTTCAATATTTTTTTGTCCCTTAAATGATGAAATTTTTTGTTTTATAAAAAATGATGTAAATTCCAAGCAAGGAAGCAAGCAAGCAAGCAAGCGATTACTGCTGCATTTCACTACTTAAGTAAAGCATAAAAGGATCAAAACGTTTATATTCACTATAATCATAAAACTAATGCTCGTTCATTATCGGAATTAACTTGAAGATTTCCTTTTTTCGCCATTCGGCCGTTATAAGGGGTGAAACGCTCATTAACTTTTTGAAAAATCTTAAATGTTTCTAATGAAATATTTTGTAAATCATTTATTCTTAGCTAACTCGGCCATATTCAAATAAAAATTGCACTCACACTGATAATATATGTAAAATTGAACGGCCTTGAGCGAACTACACCTTACCGTCATACCTTGTTTCTATTAAATGAGTTAACCGTCCTATTACGCTTAGTTACAGCAGAGTGAGTGACTTTTGATTTCGATTACCGTAAGGTTGCAATTTCTTGTCGCGTTAGACACCTAAGTAGGTATATGAATGTTTGATCTGATTTAATAAAATATATCTGAAGGTAATTTTCACTTCGAGTCTAACGGTTGAGAAAATTTCAATTGTTCAGTCGTTCCTACAAGCTCCAGAGGCTTTCAAATACAAATGTGTGCACAGGTATATATATATTATATATCTGCAGACAGGGATATATATACAAATACATGTATATGCATATAAAAGCAGACTGATAAACAGATGATATATATAGTTATGTGTGTATTGGTGCGTGGGCGCGTATACATATATACGTTTTACGTACATTTGCATGTCAATATGCCATTTCCGGAATGGACTACCCCAGGTCCACCATCTGTGGCGCTCGTGAATGTCCCCTTTTGACTGCAAAAGGCAAACTTAAACTTCTCAACGCAAATCAACTCAGCAGTTGAGCAAATCCATATTTCTCGGGTGAAGGTTCGAATATAAATAGTAATAGTTTCGTATGATGGCAGATTGGCTGGTGGGTTTGTAGTGCAAAAAGCAGACATGAGAATGATAAGAAGATGATCCAACGATTGTGACATATTCCAGTACAAGTTGCACCAAATTTTTTTCTAGCCATCTCGTAACGTAAGGGTCATCGAATTGACTCGCCCAGCCTAGTAGTCATCTAGACTTATTCATAGTACCTCCAATATGTAAATTGAAACACAGTTTATGATCGAATAGAACACCAAGATGTGGGAGAGCGTTTACATTTTCCAGCTTGTAAGAAGCAATAAAGTGTTGCATAGTATCGTAGAATGAAATGAGCACCGCGTTACTAAGCTCTAGGATACTAAGCTAAGCTACTAAGATCGGCACGAAGGCTGTTTTGCTGGTTTGCTTTAAGGAAAACGCATGAAATGAAAACAGATCATTGCTTAAAGCTTAACCTTTTCTTGAGTAACGTCGCTCGCTTCATCTTAAGCAATTCCTTCTTACCATTGAACTTGTTAAAGGACATAAACTTTAATGTTTCCATCCATCGTTCCACGAATTTTCTTTTTATAAAACTAAACAAATATAAATTCGATTTTGATTTATTTAATCTACTTATAGACTTTCCTGGTAAAAATGGAAATGACATCTACAACTAACTGAATCTCTTTGTCGTATTTGCTTTGCCGAGCATTCTCGAGCTAATAGATAAACTAAATCTTTTAATGAAACTCACGTTACAATTCCTTAATGTTATTATGATCAGTTAACAAGCTTTTGCATGTTTGACTGAAGGTGTGATACACGTTCCTTATAAGTTTGTGCAAATGTTTTCTTTCTATTTGATTTGTTTTTGTGTTTGCTTTTGTGATACTTAACTCTCTGCGTACTGTACAAAGAGGAGTAAATGTCAAGCCACATTCCCAGAGGACTAATCACAAAGGCAATCTATATTATAGAGAGTAATGGCAGACAGCGCTTAAGCGTACGTCATCTCGGTTCGGTACATATGCGGTGGTAGATGCCACATAAGAAATCCGTCTTAAGCATATCATATACGAACGGGTTTCAACATTCATAAAAGGAGTTTAAAACTATCTTTCAAGCTCCCAAACTTGCTCAAGACAGTTATCATGACAGGCAGTTTATCGATCATAAAAGCCAGGACCACTTTCTATGTTAGGTTTTTGGGGGGAAATGAACAAGCTAACCTGGCAGGTAAATCTGTGGCTTCCACATCATCAACTACAAACGATACTATGGAAATGAAAATGAATCCTCAAAAATAGATTGGAAGAAAACGATTGAAGAGATCCCCCTCTCTCTTCACCTTTCGCTTAAAGCAAGAATGTCTTCACATACATTCACTGATTGGAGCATTCGTTTTTAAGCAAAATTGTAGTGAGCTCAGTCTACTCTCTCTGCGGTATGTAAGCAAGCAAATCTTGCATTGCCTTTGGGCCTCTGAAAAATCTAGTGAAAGAGTTGATCAACCAACCCTTTTAGCTTTAGATAATTTGATGATATTTTTGAGTCGACGCTATACTGAAGCCGTACCCGCTTAAAGGCTATAATGAATTAAATTCTTTACAATGGATTATGTTCATTAACTTTGTGCACCCTACACAAGAGTGTATTGAGTTTATGCGGATGTACGCAACATCCAGAAAGACGCACCTATTATTATACCAAATTGATCCAAGTTGGTCCGTCCGTCCATCTGTCTGTCTTATGTTTTTGTATTCAGGCCATGAGTCGGGATTTTTAAGATATTTTGCAAAAATTTAGCTTAATAAATGGTCCACCGCTATGTTTCATCTAACGCCCTATATGAATAACTGTAAAGCGGTGTAAGGCCACAGCCTACTATAGCGTTTGTTTTGTTTACCTGTCTTGAGATCGATGTGCGTTGTATGTGCGTGATGTATATTTTTAGCAGAACGTTGCCAGCTGCACAATTACGATAACTCTATTGATGATGAAAAAGACCCTATATATAAAGTCAAGCTTTAAAGCTAGAGGAACAGGGCAACACGAACTTGACACTGTTGGATATGGCAAACGCATAAGCAATGCAATGGTCATTCTTAGATTGTGCGTAGACTCATCCTGGTACAGGAGATGACATCGCATTAAAATTTCGTTCGTAATTCAGGATATCACTGGTTATTTTTTTCGAATTTCTTAAACGTAAACGCATCATAAACAATTAGTTAAGAGCACATTGTAGCGACCGCATTTATTTTATAATTAATTTAATAATTTTCTTATATTTTCCGCATAATTATAAACATTCAATTTATGCATTTTTTTTTTTTTTCTTCTCTTTATAGAAAAATAAACGCATTTTCCTTGTTAGAGAATTTTAATATGCACGGAAAAAATGTGAAACAAAACAAAAAAGAAAAAAAAAAAAAATTGCAACTATAAAATAACAGCAGCAGCAATAACATATGCCATTAATTTTTATGTCATATAATTTTGTAAAGTAAATTTGTAAACAAAAAAGAAAATTTTCAAAAAAAAAAAAAAAGCCAAAATTCAAAACTTAATGTAAAGTAATTGTTGACAAATCTATGAAAGAAAAAAGAATCCACATATCTATACATATATATATATATATTTACATATAGATATGTACGTGAAAAATATATGATATAGAGATAATTTTCGTGCCGTGAAATCTTCCTTTACACTAACAAAACCGACTGACTGACTGACTGACAGACAGATTGAATATTTGACTGACTGACTGACAGACTGACTGACCGACTGACTGAATGACTGACTGAAACACTGACAGACAAACAGACTGACAGACAGACACCCAGACTGACTGACTGACTGACTGACTGACAGACAGACAGGAACATAGGCAGATTGAGTAACCGACCGTCTGAATGGCTGAGTGACAGACTGACAGACAGAATGACTGACAGCCTGATAGACAGACAGACAGACAGACTGACTGACTGACTGACTGAGTGACTGACAGACTGACAGGCTGACTGATATAGAATGCAGCAAATGTATATATGTGTGCATTGTTTCTCTGGGATAGGACCACGTTTGATATTTTGATGCAAATGTGTGTGTGTCGTATATCGATTTCTGCGAAAATCTATTAATTTGGCGAATGATCTTTACTAGATTGCGCACAAACATCTCTTGATTGGTTAGAGAATAAGAGATTAAAAAATAGAACTGATCCGTACAGAGACACGTCCACATTGTCGAAGAAACTAAATGCATCAACGAAAAAATCGAGACATTTTAAATTTTTTTTTTTTTTGTCTATAACTTGCGATCCCATGAATATTTTTTCAACCTCGTATTTTTATTCGATCAAGAAATGCTTGTGCCAAATTTCAACTTCCTATCTTCATTTCTGCGACTACAACCGGCAAAAAAACGCGAAAAGCAAAAGTAAT